GGTATATATCGCTTCACTGTGGCTCTGTTGCGTCAGTCGCGCCTGTCAATTTTGATTGTCAAATCATGTGCATTGTAGATTGAGGTCTCGGAGACCTTTATTGCTCACCTGGATGCCACTGCCGTCATGCAGAAGACGCCTGGCGTTGTTCAACCGGAGTGATAGGTAGTTGTGTGCAATATCAAAGACTTTAGCGTTCTCAGGGAGAGTAAGATGGGTTGTCATGATAAGTAGATAGCTTGAGTAGTGTTGAGAAGATGAGCGTGCAGAAATGTGGCAGGGATGAGATTCAAATACCGAAAGATGATGAGAGAGAGCACAGCCTACAAGGCAGTAACATTTAATGTTGTGTTAATGTGGCGAGAGAATACCTCCATAATCAGGAAGGGTTATCACAAGATGATGGAATGAAACAAAAAAGCAGTATTATGTTAGTATCTCGTGAAAGAAGCCACGCGGATGTGATCGCCTCGAGATAACTTTATACATAAGACCCCTATACACTTGCTTCAAGTGCGGATAAACGGCACCCGCATCGCCGGGTATACCATTCAAGGGTAATAATCTAGATCTTTTGACTAGGGATTTTCTTTTTATGGGATGAAACGATAGGCAGGTAGTATTGTGTTGATATCTCGTGAGGAAGTCACCTAGAATGTCATCGCCATGGAGAACTGTGAAGAAGACAATACACAATCAGGTAAGGGCACTCGCCCCCATTGCGAATGATCGGTACTTGCCCAGAAAAAATATATACAATTTCAGGGGAATAGTGATGGAGTGAATGACTCGAGAGAATGCTCATCATGAAAGAAAAATACTTTGATGCCTCAAGCGCAGCTGTTGGTAAACCAAGCTAAATCAACTCGGCAGACTCCAACTTGACAAGTCAAAAGGTGGCCAATTTCAGTCGACCAGATCACATCAGCAATAAAACCCCTATCTCAATAAAGGAACATTTTCAAAACTTAGTAAGATAGAGAATCATGACGGGTATCAGCTTATTTAATTAACTATTCCTATAGTCGAATGCTACTTCGCTTTCGGGCGCGCCTTGAACGACTTGAGCGGATCTATCTTGCGGCCTCCATTTCGTTTGCCTTTTCCCTTGAAGAAGCGGCCTTTCTTGCCTTTTCCATCTGTATTCTTCTTCAATGGAACAAATCCAATGTCGCTTGCGCTCAACTTCTTCTTTCCTTCTGGCAGAAGATAGTCTGGTACATCCTTGAGGTGAGCCTGGGTTCTTGCCGCCCGGAGCTGCCCATCATGACGCAAAGCTCGTAATTCTGCCGGATTTTCTTCAAACCGACGCTGAAGCTTTTCACTCTTCATGATTTCTTGGCGAATTTCCCTCGTCTGTGCCTCCCTTATCGCCACCTTCGTGATCGCACGAAGGGCATCGTTCAATCGATAACGGAACCCTTCCAAGGTTTTCATGTCGAATACCCAAGGCTTGATCTCCTTCCCTTTCGCTGCTTGCTGCTTCGTGATCTTCTGCAACGTTCTCTCATCATGTTCACACTGGGGAATGCTAGTTGGGATGTGCTTGCGGTATAGAGCGGTGGGGATGATGAATGTAAGTGATGAGCCTGTTTGCCCTGCTCGAGCGGTCCTTCCTATCCGATGGGCGTAGGATCTGGCATCTTTTGGGCACTGCGGTACTCAATAAGCCAATGTCCATTTGATGGGATCAAGTATGGATGTATGGGTTGGAAGGGGTGGTGGGAATAACTCACATCAAAATTCAAGACCATAGAGACGTTCTTGAAATCTATGCCTCGTGAGACACCATAATCCTTGTCTTGCCGTGAAGATTTTCGTTTTTTCTTGACTGGTGCGTCGTCTGTGCTTCTCTTGGCAGTTTTTGAGGGGGAACCCGTATCTTCTTCATTCCGATCTTTTGGTTTCTCATCGTTTATCTCTCCGTCGTTTTCCTCGTCGCCCAACATTTCCGTCTCATCAGAGCCGATAAGAATCTGATAAAGTCCTTGATTGAACTGCGTGACAATATTCGTCCGACTGTTGATTGGTAACCGCGAGTTCAGAACTGCTGATCGTATTCCAAATTGTTCTAAGAACAGCTTTACACGGTAGGATCTTACAAGAGGTTAGCTACTAAGAAATCAGTGGGCATGCAAACTTAGAGTACTAACCTGTCCACATCCGCGACGAATATCAGGCATTTTCCACTGATGAGCTTCAATTTCAAAAGCACATCTACCACGTGTAAGCAAAGACCACCAGATGATCTATAGAGCATCAAATAGCTCAAATGTTACGGCAATTGAGATAAGATACGTACTATACGCTTGTTAGTTGGTTTTGAAGCCTAATCGATTGCATTGTTGCTTACCATAAAAGCAGGAATTTGTCCTCCTCAGAACATCTGGAAAACCAATAGGTCAATATGGCGACAAGCATAGAAGAGAGGTATACTTCTCACTTCACCACGTATTGTGTAACGCTCTCCCCTTCGGCTTCCGGCTCTTCCAGGTCTAATACCAAAGGGTCCCGGCAAAACAGGGTCTTCACTTTGTCCACTTCGTTCGTCAGTGTGGCTGACGTGAGGACAGTCTGAATACCGGCTTTGGGCAATGAAGCAGCTATGGTGTGGAGATCCTCTTCATAGCCATAAGATAGAACCAGGTCTGCTTCATCGAGCACGAGCATCTTTAGATTCTGCACAAAGGAGGTATTCTGAAGGCTGGCGGACGCTCGTGAAGGAGTGGCGACAACGATATTGGGGCTCGAGGCGAGGAGGCTGCGCAGAGCATCTTCAGGAAGTTTGTCGGACAGTTTCAAAGCTGATATTTCCTTCTGACAGAAAGACGATAGGGTTTCGATATTTTGGAAGACCTGGGTAGCCAACTCTCTTGTAGGGACGAGGATGAGAGCAGAAGATTCCTAATTGGGATTTAGACTATGATTTGGACAATGGATCGGGGAGACGACGGACTTGTTTGCTTTCGAGGATCATCTGGATGAGGGGGAGTAAATCTATTGGCGATATGAGTATCTCGCGACGAGCTATTGGTCGCCGAGGAACATACTGCCAAGGAGGTCGGTTAGTTTCACGTCGCCAAAAGTTTGAGTACAAGATTGGAGACTTACCAGGCTGCTGTTTTCCCTGAACCTGTCTTTGCCTTGAGACAAACGGAACGGCCGTTCAGGATGTGTGGGATAGCTAGAGCTTGTGGTGTTGTCGGCTTGTGGTAGGACTGGCTAGAGACACTGGACAACAGACGAGGATCGAGGCCGAGGTCGGTAAAAGTTGGTTCTTTCCCAGAAGCCTTCGTATCGGCATCATTGGCAGGAGGAGGTGCCTGTTCCTCTCGTTGGTCAAGCTTTCGCTTCATCGTTCCGTACCGAGTGGCGGGATCGTGAGTAAAGTTGGTCCAATGAGTACTTGATAGCGCTATTAGAGACAATTCGCATGGACTGGCAAGTGTACGGTGTCTTTCTTTCAACTGCCCGTGAGAGATGCTGGAATGCGTAGAACAGTCAACACCTCCAAAGTGTAGAAAATGTTGAACACTCAATTGCAGTGACAGGAACTTGACTGCCCACCTCCCAAAAAATTATGGGCGGCTTATCTTATCGTAACAGGTCCCTCTCTAAGAGAAGGCCCGCTAAAGTTGGATACCAGGTACCTGAAAGGGTAGGATTTACCCTGTATATCTTGCCCGAGCTGGGCTAAGTTATCTCAGAATCTCAGCCCAGAACTGGGTGGGTGGCCTGTGCTATGGGCTGCGCCACAGCTGACTTTTCAGAATTCTAAGAACGCAGAGCTGTGGGGCCTACGCCACTGACTGCGCTACGCTACCAAAGGAGAGAATTCTAGTCTGAGCTTCCGAAATAAAACTATGGCACGGTACTAGCGGCGTTGTTAAGCAATCTTTTGTATTACTATAAAAAATATCAAGGTAGGGAGGAAATTCCAGAAATGCGGGCACCCGGGCGGTAGCAGCAGCGCAGTTATATGCTGTGTGTGGGGCTGGCCTGGACCCCCTACCCTAAAATTCCTTATCGATATATATCCATGCGGGCAGCAGGGTATCTCGCCAGGCCCGGATGACGTAACTACACCCCCATTTTCGCACTACTAGGTAACGGGCAGCTCCGAAAATAGAGAAAATGATCCCCCCAGCGCTCCGTATCGCAGGATCTTGATCTTGAGGCTCGGCGAACTGGGTTCTTGAGGCGTACCTTCCATACATCGTCGTCGACGAGGGGTCAGGCCATCGTGGAGGATCTCGGCTGCGTAACCTTGAAGGGGAAAAAAAAAAAAAAAAGGGCTGGACGCTCCGTGCAGTGGCCCGGGTTGTCGGTTGTGTGTGTATCCGGGTGACCTGCGGACGATGAGCGAGCCCGATTCAGCCCAAACTTTGAGGGCCGGATACGAGGGTTCGAATTGTACGGTGGTTCTCTGGGTGTGAGCCAACCCAATTACGCTCGATCTTCGAGGGTCGTACAAGGGGATGTCGGAAAGAAGAGGCACCTCGTCGTACTCGCGGGTAGCCTTTGGACTCGGTGATGAAGGGGACCGAGATGTACAGAGCGCTCGGGCGCGGCGGCACTGGCGATGTACGGAAGATGTAACGCTTCTCCCACGTTACGAGGGCGCCATGAGACGAGGTAGACGACGGCACTGTACAGAGCTGGCGGAGGCAGGCCTTTACCGGTCAAGGCTGGGAGCTCCGGAGTTGTACTCGTAGGAGGCAAGGCTCCTGCAACGAGGCTGCTCTCACAACGCGGCGATTGACTTGTTTTTGGAAGAAGGGCGGCAAGGTAACAATAACCTTCATCTGCAGCACCCCAATGACCTTGATATTGTCACAACTGGATATCTGGTACCTCCTTTCTCGGGGAAGGAGCCCTCCAGGTGGCTTACCAGCCCTCTGGTTAGCAGGTGCACGACGATGTGGGCCCACTGAAATCAGGTGACACTTCAACCTTATAAGGCCTAATAACTACCTATTCGAAACTTCATCAAATTAAAACCCGGAATGGTACAATGGTAATACGCCTTGTGACATGTGGGAGCCCGCAGCGCGACCATACCCTCCGGGGGGTAGGAGATCTGGGTTCGATTCCGAGTTCCGGTACTTTTTTTTCTCCTTTTTTCAATATCCCTTTTTCTTTCCTACACCCACCGACCCCAACTAATGAATAGGTACTTTATGTGCTCGGCCGTCTAGACCAAGATCTGCACGATGAGATTCTACGCACGAGCCAAGTCATCCGTAGCTGGAGCATGTCTAATTCCTGGGGGTGGACATTATCCTTGCCCCCCCGCAGGAGGCAAAGATGAGCAAATGGTTATGATTGGCCGGGAGGCTTGCTGCCAGATCTTGAAGAAACGACTTCCGGATGCAGCCATTGTTAAGCGCAAAAGTCGCTGATATTGATCTTACAAACAACAACAAGAAACCGAAGCTGATATTTGACGATCAGATGGCAAAATAGGTGGACCTGGTGATTGCATGTGACGACATTTGGTCTCGGGCGTGGCGAGCCATGTTCGATGACCAGTTCCCACTGCGTTTACGAAGGCCTCGTGGGTGTTGGAGGGTTCGCACCGAGCTTTAAGATCGAAAGCACCTTGAGTAGGCAGATGATGTGGTTCTAGGAGGAAACGCTTTCTTTGGCTATGGCTATTGCACCGGTGATCCTAGAGATCCTTCTAAAGCTGGTGATATAGCTACCTGGTGGTCTACATTCAGTCTGAATGAATGCCCACAAGACTGGCGGACTATTGACAAGGATGATGTGAAGAGAGAGCTTCAAAGACGGCATTCAGGATGGCAAAACTCTGCGATTCAGAATATTGTCCAAGATGTCAAGATCGATTTACTATATCCGACGTTAATTACGCCTTTACTGCCTACATGGAAAAAGGTGGCTGCGTCTTGGTTGGCGATGCCGTTCATGCTTCACAGCCTTCTTCTGGTCAAGGAGCTAGTATGCCATTCGAGGACTCCGAGACCCTCGCCCTTCTCTTCGAGAACTATCTAAAGGAGGACCCTGATACGGGTCACTTTACAGCCGTCAAGAAATATTGCGATATCCGCCCACCGCCACTGACTATGGTGTTTAAGCAGGCACAGCAGCTTGCGGGCATGAAACAAGACACGGGATTTTTCCACGAGATGGTCATGTACGCCTTTATCTAGATTTTCTCAAAGCTGGGGAGTTTGGAAAACTAGGAACGGAAATTGAACTAGTACGATATTCCAACTGAGGTAGCAAGACAATCATGATGTCCACCCAGGAGTGAGAGACTTTGAAATGCCTTTTAATATTGGCGATTTGTAGTGTCCAAAAACCAAATATAGTCTTATGACTTTATATGCAGAACAGATTACATGAAGACAAAAGCTACAATCTATACACTATATATACATTATATCACAGCAAAGCTAAAGCCATAGGCGATAACAGTTTCAGATAATTTCCAAACTACCTACTTGTATTGACAAAAGACTAACTGCATGGGCTGTGAAGTATTGCAATATATATCACAACCCTTTATTCAGGGGTAGTTCTAGTCTGCGGGCAAAGCCGAGGTGAAGAGTTGGCATAGTTTCCTAACACTTGGCAGGATACGGTATACTTTGCATAAAGCATATATCATCTGCCCGACTTTGTTTTGACACTGTCTTGAAAGGTGATGATTTGTCTGTTGATAGATCCTAATGCAGTATGTACTACTGGAACGGCTGTTTGGTGGATTGCTTTAAGGAATACTCCCCTCACTGTGGGGCTTTGCGACAGGAACAAGGATGAGGGCAGGTCCGTTGGCATGACAACGCGACTTGGTCACACCTTCTGTCGCTGCACCAAGCCGGTGTACATAATACAGCGGGCGGTCGAGAGCGGCAGTGGGACGGCGCTAAAAAGGCGGGCGTATTAGTGGGGGAAAGCACTTAGGCACCCCTGCTCTGTTTACATCGGCGCCCGCCCAAATAGAGACCTCGAGCTCTCCGGCGCACCATCACACACCTTCTCTCTTCTGCACCAATTGATACCCAATCTACCATCGTGGTAACGGCTTGCATTCTTTGCCGTTTTGCCATAGTGATTTTATTCAATTGGCATTGTTTGAGACGGGGATAATTGAGTTGATTACAACGCTTGTCCGTTGCTTTTCGGTTCTTAACTATCATTCTCAACCAACCATCAACACACTGCGCGCACGCGACGTTACCTGCGTGTGGTCTTGCGCACAGTCCGCACCTACAATTCCCTTTGTCCTCAGTCATCCTTTGCAAAAAAGATATGATTTTGCAGACAGCTTCTTAGCCAACAGAAATTGGGAAGCATATCATTAAATATGGCTTCAGAGCAGCCGGTCAGTAAACATGTCTCACACTAGCACTGCCCTATGGAATGGATTCGAGTAGTTAACACTGCATCTTCGGACAGGTCACGGAGCCATTGCGCATCTCCAAAAGCACACCTAGCAGTTCGCCATCCAAGAACACTCTTCCTCGCCCCCTATCCGAGATCTCGGCTACGGAGAAGCGACGGAACTCACCCAGCTGGCCACAGCAAGGAAAGGTAACATGACTCCCTATTTATGCTTCACACCAAGACACAAAATACTAACTAACACTATCTTTCCAGGGGCAAAAGATGACTCTGAACACCGACTCATCTCCATTCCAGTCATCTCCTCTTGACGCCACCACCTCTCCACGTCTCCTCTGGCAGCGAAATCTCAATAACAATGCTGAGAATAACGATCTCTATGGAGGCCGATCCGGCTCCCCATCCCCCACTAGGCGCTCATCTATCGAGCGCCTGCAGAAGGCCTCGCGTGTGAAGAACAGTACCATGTTTGCGCGAGAGCAGAAACAAGAATATGATCCCACTAGACTTCCTACAATAGAACGCCCCTTGGCCAAGGTCCAGGGAAATGCCTTTGGTAGCACCGGACATGCTGGCCTTCGCCTAGGACACGCTCGTTCTGAGAGTCAGACAAATATCCCCATCTATAGTCCGTCCAAGTCGGTCACAAGCCCAACCGTGTCCGCCAATCACGCCGCGACCCCAAGCAAAGACCAGCCATCACCAATCAAATCGTCACTCTCTTCATCTCGCTTTAAGGACAGCTACAACTCACAGAACGACGATGTCTTCTCTGACAACTCCTTTGACGACTCCAACACCGTCGATGGAAGATCAAACCATCGCCATGCTAAGTCAGTCACTTTTGACGCTGCTCCACCCCAGATCAACGAGTACGAGATGGCAACTCCTGATCTCTCCTCAATCGGAACCAACTCCCGAGAAGGCAGTTTTGAATCCGAGGAAGACGACGATGTCTATGGTCATCACTATCGAGGAGAGGAGAATGACCTTCAGGATGAGAGTTTTGATGCCACATTAGAGGACACGGATAAGACTCCAGTTGTTGGCCCTGATGATTGGCGTCGTGATCTCGACTCCCGCTTCGATAGCAGCCCTATGCCAGAAGGCCCCCTTTCTCAGCCCGCGTTGGCTCGTCCACAGCCTGGCCGCACCAACTCTGCCACTTCGAGCGGAGAGCATCGACCTTTGCCCACCCTTCCGGGCGCTGGATCCGTGCCATCCGACTCGACCGCTTCCAACGAACTGTCCAGTATGGCAGAGCGAATGCTTGGATCCCCACGCAACCTACCCTCTCCTCCTGCAGCGTCATCCAACAAGTCCGAAATTCAGAATATCGGAAACTCAAACATGTCACTTGAGGAACGTCTAAAGCTTATGATGCTCTCTGACGAGTCAAGCCCCAAGGCTGGCGATAACACTGCCAAGACATTTGCTGAGCAGCAACGAGAGCGTCGCATGAGGAGAGCCGGTGCTCGCGATAGAGTCGCAAGCCCGACCCCTGAGCGTGAGGACGCAAAGGCAGAGGCCGAAGAGGGAGATGATACTCTTGGAGACATCTCAGCGTTGGATATGGATTACCAACTCCCTAGCATTTCTCGCCAGTCTATATTGCGTCGCGTTAATGGCAACTCAGCTTTGGGCCGTGAATCCGAGTACAACTTCCAATCTCCGGCGCCAGAGTCCAGTCCACCCCGTCAAGCTCTTTACGATCCCGACGTACCCATTGCTAGTATCGAGGATTCTGTCTTGGATGATATTTCGGAGCTCGGTGATGATAGTATGATGAGTGCTGAGGGGGACGAGCATGATAGAGCGGTTGTCTATGACGCGTATCAGCCATCTGAGGACGAGCAATTGAGCTCTGGAAACGGCCTGCAGGATGATGATGATGACTCCATGAGCCACTACTCGGAAGACCTGCCTGAGGCACAACTTGCACAGACGGAGGAAGAACCTACTGCTACACCCAGGCCATCCAGTCCCGCTGAACAGGAGGCAGTCACCAACTTCAGCGCAACTCTGCCACAGGTGACTAGCTCCTCAAGAATTTCCGATTTTTCCCGTAGTTTCCAAACATACATGCTACCTAAACCTAGAGAGTCAGACTCTGTTACTTATCAAGAGATCCGTAAGGAGGCTGGACTCATAGGTGAGGTTTCAAGGCCTGAGACACCTAAGAAACGTTTGTCGAAGCCAGAGTATGATGGATCAGGTTGGGGTGAGCCTGATGAAGAGCAGGAAGCCGAATGCGGAACTCCCGAATCAGTCATCCACCATCCCGTCTCGGACTACGAATCCGACATGGACGAAGAAGCTGAAGAGGAGGACCTAATTGAAACCCCTTCCGTTCCTGAACAGGTTGCGACAATCAAGTCTTCGTCCGGATCTCGGCTCAAAACCAGACCTTCAGCCACTCCCTCCGACATTCAAGCGATGCGAGAGGCTCGTAGACAAGTCAGTCGCGAAGTCGCACCCATTGTACCTCCCATTCCGGAGCGCCACCGCAATCGCATGTCCCGTGACTTTGATACTGGTCAGCTCAGCGCCTCGACGGGAGACGAATTTTTGGAGAGGCACCCGAGCTTCAAGAACCGCAGCCTAACTTTGGACCTCGATTTAGGCCTTAGCCTGGACCAAGATTTCGACCGAGTTATTGAGGCACAGAAGGTGACATTCTCCGAGACTACCTCCAATGGGCAGTTGCAGGCCGCTAGTGATGGTCTTGCTGGAC